CTGAGCTCTGATCCAGGCCCTGGAGGCCCGGGGCGGAATGCGAAATGGAAAACCAGAAAACCTTCAAGGCTTTTTGGGTTTAGGGGTTTGGGGAATTAGGGTTTAGGGGTCCAGGGTCTAGGGTCCAGGGTCCAGGGTTGAGGAGGGTCTAGGGTTGAGGGACTAGGGTCCCAGGGTCTAGGGTCTAGGGTCTAGGGTTTAGGGTTTAGGGTTTAGGGTTCTGGGTTTGGGATTTAGGGTTTAGGGCTTTGCGTCTAGGATCGCTGGTGTGCTGCACTGCACCATACTAATCTGTATGATCTGCGATACCCTACCATGCCATAACATACCATACCATACCATAACATACCATAAGTACCGTGATGAAGAACCCTTAGGGTTTTCAGTGCTGCTGCAGCTGCTTGTCACTGCAGCCGCTGTTAAAACCTTGAGGAGGCCGGTCACAATGTCCCGCGGCTGGCGATGGACTGTGTACCTTGCATGCTGGGATTTCGGGTTTACCCAGAAAGTTGGAACTTAGGCTCATAACCGCAAACCCTAAATCCTAGACCCTAAGCCCTAAACCCTAAACACTAGACCCCAAAACCCTTATATAGGATGATCAAATTCAGGGATTCTTTTTCCTCGACCGTAGGTGCATGAGGATCGTGGTGTTCCGGCCTTCTAGCTCCTGCTGTAGGGCCAAGGCTAACGGGTTCAGGGTTTAGGGTTTTGGGTTAGGGGTTTAAGGGGGTTCTGGGTTCAGGGTTTTGGGGTTTATATAGGAGTTTAGGGTTTGGAGTTTTGGGTTTATGTAGGGGTTTGGGGTATAGGGTTTTGGGTTTATTATAGGGATTTAGGGTTTAGGATTTGGGGTTTAAGGCGGGGTTGGAGCTTTTAGGATCTATGGTGTAGGGTTCAGAGGTACTCACCAGACCCCAGATTCTGCAACAGCAGGAGTAGGAAGAATTGGGCTCGAAGTAGTTGTAGCTTCCTCGTCGTTCTCGCCATCACCATCAGAATATCTTCATGTAGATAGCATTGCCAGTCACACGGAAACCCACCCGGCAACCGTGGTAAACCATTGCAGTAGTGATGCGGTTGCACTGCCGCGGTAAGTCTTATCGATATGCATGCTTCTTTTGTTGCCTAGAAATTCCATCCTGAACCATGCCTATTTAGGGCTTGTGTCCCTTCAACCTTAAGCCTTAAGCCTTAAGCACAGAACGACCCCACCCCCTTACGGAAAGCTGTTCAAGCCCCGCCCGCTCACCCAAACCCTCTAAAACCCTTAACCCGAGGCCAAACCCTACACCCGCGAAACCCCTAAACCTCTAAAGCCCTAAACCCCTAAACCCTAAAACCCCAAACCCCTAAACCCTAAACCCCTGAAGCCTTAAAACCCCAAACACCTAAACCCTAAACCCCCGAAGCCCTAAACCCCTGAAGCCCTAAACCCCTAAAACTCTAAAGCCCTAAACCCCTGAACCTCTAAAACCTAAACCCCTAAAACCCCAAACCCCTAAACCCTAAACCCCAAACTCCTAAACCTCTACAGCCCCAAACCCCTAAACCCTAAAACCCCAAACCCCTATGTAAACCCTAAACACCAAACCCTTAAACCCTAAATACTAAGCCTCTGAAGCCCTAAATCCCCAAAGACCCAAACCCTGCCACGGCACCCACTGGACACTCCCTCGCTTGGCCTCCTTCGTGCGTTGCGGGCCTGCTGTTAGGTTGTCTAGTGTATATATGAATATACCTTACATGCCATGTTATGTTTATCGTATTTTTCGTATTATATTATATAATATATGATATGTAATATATCATTATTCATTCTGTAGTATAAACTACACAAGGTTATATATCATGTACTGCAACAGTATGTTTCTATACGTACCATGATATCTACATATAATGTATGATTACATCTTATGTATTGTAATCTAAATATTATAAACTATATACTACAAACTATATAGTATACACAAAATACTGTATAGTGAAGGAAAGCCAGGGCATATCAAACAGCTTATTTCAAGTATACTGTATCATATATGATGCATGTTAGATCTTATCGCTCATATACTATGAGCTATGTGTTGTATGTTGTATATAGCATATTATACTTCAAATCGTATGCTGTAGGCCTGCGGGGGGGCTGTCTTGTCGCAGTTTGTTTGCTTTTCGTCTTCGCGCTCGCCCATCGGAGCGGTTGCTTTGTCATCGTCGTGCCCCCGCCACGCCTTGTTCCCGGAATAGTTCGGGTGTCTTTCTTTCCTGCTTGCAACATCGCATTCTGGTCTGTGCCGTGGGCATTCTTGGAGTGAAGTTCGGATCCCCATCGTGCCTCCCGCACTTGAATTGGTTTTGCAGTGGTCTTCAAAATGTCCCGGAACGGATTATCATGGGGTGGTCTTGGAGTGTTCCGGATGTGGTCCCCATGTTGTCCTGGCGTTTACGCACTGCGCGAAACGTGACAGTCACAAAATTTTCAATGCAAAAGCATGCCACAGAACCGCTGGAACCGACTGTGAACTTCGCAGTCACGGCAAGCAAACCTATATACAGGTAAGAATATCAAGATTTAGAAGCGTGTTGATGCCGGTGTCGAGACAAGTAAAACTGCAAGTCTTGAACATGCCTTCCCGCTCCAAGAGGGTGAAACAAAAAGTGGTCAGCTAGCTCGGTTCCTCGCTACCGTATCCCAAGCCAAAAGCCTGAACCCAAATTACATTGGGCCTGAAACCTTAGGTTTGTTGGTATGGAGCTTGGGGAGTGCAGCTTCTTCGACAGCCTACGCTCTATGCAATCTCTCGTGCTCTGTGCAGCCTAGAGATCAGATTTTGATTTGCTTCAAACCACTTGTACCCTCTACTAGAAGTCAGTATAACTTCCCTACACCGCAAACCTTTACGCTGCACTGCCACGAAAGCTATTCAAGTGAACACTCGCGGCATGAAGACGGGACTTCTGACTTCAATCACTGAAACCTCGAGATGTGGGATCCCGAATCAAACGGTTACACTCTTTGGGTTTGGATGTAGGGCTTACGGGTTTACGGGGTTCAGGGTTTCGGATTTGGGGTCTATGTATTGTAGACAGGCAGAGGTTGAAGAGAGCGCCCTGTACAGAACGGCGAGGCAGTACAGACATGCTTCGCAGAGAGCAAGAAGGGAATACACTTCTCGGCTACAATCCGCGAGAGTGACGCAACAAAAATAGTTCCGTCCTCAGACTGTACATGACGGAACGATGCCTGAGGGAGCAGGCGTCGCAGGAGGATCTGGCCCGCGGTGCTCGGTACCCCAGGTATCCAAATCATTCCTCTAGAGGAGATATTCTGACAAATTTGTCGGAAGGCAATGGTGTTGGCTGCTAGTCCTCGCAGAAACTGGCAGTGCTGCGCAGTACTAGACGACTTACCGGGCCGCAGCAAGCGAAAGGCTGGGCGGTGTCGTACGTCCCAAGGGTTATTCGTAGAGTCAACCGCAAGCCACAGGGCCCAGAAACGGTGCCACGCAGTGGGCAGGCCCCAGCAGTTGTGTGTACGCTGCAGGCCCGGCCAAAAGGGCGAGGGGAGATCGGCGGCTGTGGGGTCGTGTGCGTCAACAATCGTCCAAAACCCAACATCGACACATCCGGCGGTAGCAGGCCGGTCGAGAGAGGTGTGATGCAAGTCAGACGGGTGTAGGGGGGGCAGCTGCCCGTCCTCAGTGCATGAGGCCTCGGGTAGGGCGACAGCGGTCAAAGGCGTTGGCCGATCATACACGTCATGGACACCGGTTGCCTGGAACAACTCGCGGGCAAGTTCTTGCTGTGACGCTGCACGCCCTTCAGCGGCTGCCTGTCGTTGCACAGGCGTGGCGTTAATAGGGCCGGGCAGTCGTGCTGGACGTCGCCTCATTGGCGCGCTCGCCCGCCCTGTTGTCTGCTTTGGTTCCTCGCCTATCAGCGCACAGCGCGTTGTTTTTCTAGGCCTTGCATGATTTTTGGGTAGCTAGCTCTGGACTTCGGACTGCATTCGCTGCGAAGTGAAGTGAAGTCTATGTATTGAGTGGATACCTTTACAGGAAGCTTTATTCCCTACTGTTCACACAGTCTGGCAACCCCTTTGAAACCGTCTGAAATCAGCCCAATAGCTAGGTGCTGTTCACCTGGCAAGATCCTACAAGACCCAATGCGGCGCTTCGCACACCTTTTCCAACCCCCATAAGCCACAAACATCCAGAGCGAAACACTGTACTTAAAACCCTATACAACCCTAAACCCCAAAACCCTAAACCCCAAAACCTAAACCCCAAGCCCACCTCCGGATGAAGATGTGGCGCAAGCGGAGGCTCAGTTCGTTCCGTCCGGTGGGTCCGACCTGAACACTCGAGGGGGGCCTTTTATGGACCATAAACGGTTTAGGGTTTAGGGTTTAGGGTTGAGTATTCAGCCTTGCAAATGGATTGGAAGGGGGTCAGGGTTGAGGGTTTCACGGCTTTAAGATGTAGGGAGCTTAGGATTCGGGAAGCTAGGGTTTCATGGTTTGTTCACAAGTTGTAGTAACCTAGAAACAAACCCTAAACCCTACACTATAGGCAACTTGGCTGGAAATGCGCTGCGGGCCTGGGTTCCTTAGACACATGGAGGCGTTTAGGGCTTGGGGCGTTGAATCAGCAAGCGGTTGCTCGGCACACGTTGTTTCGCCGGCCAGGGAGTGACAACTTCATTGCGACAAGGATGGAGTCCGACTGAACATTATCACGGTTTGGGCATGGATGCTCTTCGGAAAGGATGTAGTGCGACTGGACGTTATCACGGCTGGGGCATGGATGCTCTGCGAAAAGGATAGAGTCCGACTGGACATGATGACGGTTCGGGCATGGATGCTCTCCGAGCATGACTGGAAATACCGATGCGTTCCAGGCCTCCACGCCCGTACCCCTGCTGCCCCACGAAAACAGCGACAGGCGCAAGGCTTTCGGCGATGAAGGCGACGGAACACCGTCAATAGCCATGCGCTGGAGGTGTTCGAAGCGCGCGTGAACAGGCCGCTGGAGCCTATAACAAGGAACCCTACAACATAATGTGGGTTATGCTCCGGCCTGTATAGAACTAAACCCTAAACCCTAAACCGGGAAGGCTGTAGAAGGGTTTGGGGGCCGGGGTCTGACTCCTCAAGCTGAGAAGACTCGGTGCGGATTTTGGAACTTAACGGCGGGGCTTGCGGTTCAGGGTCTGACCCTACACCCCAAACCCTAAAGTCTAAGCCAAGCCCTACACCCTAAACTCTAAGCAGCCCTGAGCCCTAAACCCTAAAATTCTAGGCTTCGAGACGTTCGGGCTGAGCTAAGGAGCCGGATCTTCAGCTACAGCACGTCTGATTGTTGCACCCTTCCGGCAACGCGAACCCAGAGCTTCAAGCAAGCACTTCGCAAGAGGCCAAAGGACCAGACCTCCAAGAACCTGAACCTGAAAACCCTAAGGTTTAGGGTTTAGGGCTTAGGGCTTCGGAATTAGAGCTTTAGGGTTTAGGGTATAGGATTTAGGGTTTAAGGCTTAGGGCTTAGAGGTTTAGGGTCTAGGGTTTAGGGTTTGGGGCTACGTTAGTGAAGCCCGAGACCCTAGGCCCTACACCCCTGAGCAGTTAAACCAGGGGCCCATGGTAAATTACATGGCCTCCTGATCATGGTAACTGAAATGCAATTGCAAGTAGTTCCTTAACAAGAACCCTAAACCTTACATCCTGGCCCCTAAACGCCTAAACCCCGAAACCCCTAACCCTTAACCCCTAAACCCCTGAACAACTAAACCCTATGTTCCTTTAAAAGCAACCCTAAACCCTAACAACACCCCTAAACCCTAAGTTCCTTTAAAAGCAACGCTAAACCCCAACCCCTCAACCCCTAAACCATAAGTTCCTTCAAAACCCTAAACCCTAAACCCCTAAACCCTACGTTCCTTTAAAAGCAGTCCTAAACCCTAAACCCTGAAACATTCCCCAACAAGAACCCGGTCTTCGGGCCTTGTGCTTCACCTCACACGTCCGAGCACAGGCTACACCTGGAAGGTCGAAGGCAAGGTTCCCCGTTAGAGGTTAGGGTTTAGGGCTTTTTGGGGGGTTAGGGTTTTAGGGCTTAGGATTGAGGGTTGGGGTTGCGAGTTGCGAGTTTTGGGAATTAGGAGGGTTTTACGGATTAGGGCCATGGAACCTTCCTCCTGCAGTCCAAGCCTTCTCGCCTAAAAGCCGAAACCCGCGGACGCCAAACCCAACACCAGCAGCAGCAAGCCCTAAAGACCAAAACCTAAAGAATCCAGGCCCCCAAAAGCAACTGGAGCGCCAAAGACAAAGCAGCAAACCCGGGATCCGAATTCTTAACCGTAGTAAACCTTTTAAGTCCTAAATCCTAAACCGTAATTATTCAACCCTAAATCCAGAAACCTAAACCTAAACCCTAAGCCGTTGCCTCCCATGACACGGGAGAAGCCGAAGGGCACGATGAAGGGAGGATCGGCTCCTCCGTGTGGCTGTTAAAGGAAGCCGGGTTTAGGGCTTTAGGGCTCTGGGGTTTTTAGGGTTTTGAGGTTTTAGTGTTTTAGGGGTTTAGTGCTTTAGGGTTTTCGGGTTTTAGGGTATAGGGTTTGGGGCTTTAGGGTTGGAAGTTTAGGGATACTAATAAGAATTAGTGGCTTCAAACACAGAGAATAGAGTTTATATAATGAGGGTTTTGTAAGTGTTCTGTAAGGGTTACTGGACGACGACTGGGGTTTCGTGCAGGGGCCTTGATAATTAGAATACGGGCTGGGGGTATTGTATAGCATCATCATGGGGTAACCGGGTAACCATAAGCGATTCTGTTAGTAATTGTTCCGACCCCTACGTGTATTCCTTGAAGAAGTAGCGACGACCGCCCTGCGAGAATTTTGCACTTGCCCACACCCTGCGCCTCCTGGCAGTATGACTTTGGGGCATGCGTGGGCTAGACTTCAAGATTTCCTGACGTTTGCTGGCCGTTCTCGCGAAACACCATGGCTCAGACTAGCGTTGAACTTCCTGGTGATGCCTGAAGCATTGCTAGGTGTCCTAAGTGCGATCTCGTGCATCACGTCTCGAGGGCCCACGAGTGGAGGGAGGCAGCGGCTTCTCGAGGTCCGCTGCCGGCTCCGGCTCCGCCACAGGCTCGGACTCCGATGCTGAGTCGGAAGCATAAACGACATTTGGGTGCTGCATGTCCTCCGGTGTCATCGGGTGCCACGGCCAGCACTCTGTCTTCTGGAAGGATAAAGGTCACCAGTGGCATGCCGTCCATCGTGTAGACGAAACCATCTGAGTCCACCTTGGTGTTGTAGATAGGCCCGCCGGTCATGCCCACGTTGATACGCTTCAGCACATGCCCCAAGTACTTGAAATTGCTGGCCGCCACCTCCGGTCCTCTGACGAGGGTTCAGAGTTTAGCTGATTTCGGTTCAAAGCATTGGTGCTAATGGGGGTTTGTAGGGATTCAATATCGAGGGCAAGAATGATGAATGATTAGACTGTTCGAACAAGGATCTAGCGTATAGAACATTTCAGTTATATCTAGGGTGTATTACACTTCAGTTACACTTCGGTTATATGCGGACTGTAAAGGAAGCTCGTGTTCATCTCTTTGGGCACCAAGATGGGAGTTAGGATTAGGGGGACCCCTGGCGATATAGACCCTCTCAAGAAGGTCCCCTTTACGAGAGTCACAAGTAGGGTTCAGAGGGGTCCCCTTTAAGGGGTCCCCCTAATGCCACCTAGGACAAGAAGCCCGAGTCCCGCGTCCCGGTAACTCCTAGACTTCGACTCTCAAGCCTCGACCTTACCGAAGCCCCGAATACCCAAACTACACATTGACATCACAAACCCTACCATAACCCACTGTTAGAACCCAAATTAAAGGAACCCTTAAAGGAACCCTAAAAGCCCTAGACTCTTAAGCTGCAAAAAGGCACTTTGCAGCATTGCAAGCTCCAAGCCCTGAGCTCCAAACCCTAATTCGGAACTCCTTTAGGGTTTAGGGTTTCGGGGTTTAGGGTTTAGGGTTTGGGGTTTAGGGTTGAGGGTTTGGGGTTTAGGGTTTGGGGTTTGTTAGGGCTTTGGGTTTTTTTTTAAGAGGACATGTGCACTCACCTGTCAGCTTTGGGTTTAGGGTTTGGGGAAACCCACGCAACTACAGTCAAACTCCGAACCATAAACCTGATCCCAAACCCCAAGCCAAACAAACTCAAAACCGACAAACGCGAACCTAATAGCAGTCGTTGTAACATCCCTTATAGCACCCTGATAGTACGCCCTTTATAGTCTAGCATCCCTTACCATACCCCACGCCCTATTTAGCCATATCCAATACAAACGCTTCAGGACATAGCTGGAATACCTAAACCCCAAAACCCTACTGCAACTCTTTTGGGTCCGTTTAGGCTCGCATCTCCTTACAAGACCAAACTCGTCCTTGTCGGCCCTTGCTCTTCGAAACGCTTCCCTCTAGCCAGCGCCTTACGGAACGAGGTGCGGCTTCAGGACTCTTAGGGCATTGGGGTTTTAGGATTTAGGATTTAGGGTTTAGAGTTTAGGTTGTGTTAAGTGCCTCTTTTCCCTTCTGCAACAAGGGCTTGGGCTTCAGGTTTTAGGGTTTAGGGTTTCGGGGTGTGAATTTTTAGGTTTCACGGTTCTGATTTAGAGTTCACGGAGTCGTAACGGTGCTTTATGGGTTTTGGGTGTAGATGAAGAGTTATGGCTCGCGTGGGTGTCTGTGTGACTGTTTCTCAGGCTTGTGAGAGGTTTGCGAGACATCGGGGTCATAGGGGATTTGACAGTTAGGATCTAGCGATACTATAGCCATAACTAGTGGCCCCAAGAGATACTTCAGTCTTCTACATTACACATGCATCCGAAAGCCTCCGTAGTCCGTCGGCATCGTCGTCCCCTCTCGCCGTCGTCGCAGTGATAGCCGCAGTCCCAGTGGCAGTCACAGTCGGAGTCGCACTGGTGTTGGCAGTGGCAGTTGGAGTGGGATTGGTAGTGGTAGGCAGAGTAGTGGGAGCGGTAGGAACACTGGGAGTACTAGGAATAGTGGCAGTGGTGGCAGTAGTGGCAGGAGTGGTGGGAGTGGCACTACTGCTCTCTTTGCTGTAGCTGTAGTAGTTGTTGAAGATTGTTGTTGTTGCTGCTTGAAACGCAGCAGAAACAGCGCACCAATACCTGCGGCGGCAGCAGCAGAAATGGCGGCAGCACCGGCGGCACAAGCAGCACCGGGGGCAGCAACAGCAGCAACTCAGGCGCGAAAAGTGGAATGCTACCTGAGCTCTTGCAAGGCATGAGCTCCCGTAACCCGATGTCCTAAACCCAACAAAAACAAATCGATGACGAGGCGCCGAAAATCATCCCACATGCCCGGCAGGATGCATTCCTTCAAGAAAGTCTTCCTGCCTGGGTTTAAGGTTTAGGGTTTGGGGCTTAGGGTTTAGGGTTTACGGTTTAGGGGAACACTGGGATTCAGGCTTTGGAGCCGTATTGTCGTCATGTCGGCTGCATGCCAAGTAACACTCCTTTTGATCATCTTGATGAGTACTGCTTACTGCTTAGCAAGGATGCTCGGGCTCAAGCGTTTCAAGGCTTGAAACACCGAAAGCCCTGAAGAATCCGCTGGAAGCTCGGAGTACCAGCTGCCCCAATCTCTGAGCCTTAAACCTGAACCCTAAACCCTAAACCCACCCAACCCCAACCCCAAACCGGAAACAGCAGAAAATCAGGAGAGGAAGGATTGGAGAGGAAGGGGAAACAGAAGGGCTTCTGCTAGCAATACCAGGTTCTTGGCCGAAACCTATTGAAGCTTTTAAAAGTACTACCAACAAAGATGTAGAGACAGCATTATTGCACGGAAGAAGCAAGCAGCATGCTGACGTCAACGTCTACGCTCTGTGTTCGTTGAGGGTTAATCCAAGGCTCGGCCTTACCTAGCAACGAAGGCTCCTCTTAGAGCTTCAGAAGAGCTTCTCTGGCCATCCCATACATCCGCAACCGTGTTTATGACCTTCTTCGGGATGGATAGATCAGAGGCGGAATCTGAACTTAGAACACTGGTAGACCCGGAAAAACCCATCTGATGGGGGTTGAAGGGGCTCAGGGTTTAGGGGTTTAGAGTGTAGTGTGGAGTTCAAGGGGTTTCCGGTACTACTAAAACTGCAGCTTGCCGAGGCATTCACTTTTCTTCCAGTGGCTTGTATTCAAGAAGATATGGATGTCCTGTCGCACACGGCTTAGGGTTTAGGGGTTGAGGGCTTAGGGTGTAATGGAGTGTAGGGTTGAAACGAGTTGGTGTTGGCCAGACAGAGATTCTTGCAAATCAGTACTTTTACGGGAACCATGGGAATAAAACAAGATTCTCGGATCTCCACGAATAGGAAAACAATGGGGAAACAAGCCGACTCCCACATTCCTGGCCTATTTTTGGCCTATTCTTTCCCCATTGAAATCCTCCCCACTGCACCGCCTAGGATTTTCTGTGGCTTTCCTATTTGTGTCCTATTGTGGCCTATTTTCTCCTACCACAGGGAAAAAACAAGGAAAAATAGTCCCGCAATAGGAACATACTAGGAAAATCACGAAAATCCCACAAAAAAATCAGGCCCAAAAGACTTCCGGGAGAGAAGGAGGGGGATCCCCTTCTATCCAAAATCCTAATTTTTGCTCATTCCATTTCATCCCAAGGTTTAGGGTTTAGGGTTTAGGGTTTAGGGCCTATTCAAATCTTAGTCTCTTCCTAAAAAGTCATTATTTGCCACCACCTTGCCTCAAGGCCTCCTCGCACCTCCGAAGTTTAGGGCTTCGGAGGACTTCGGGGCCCCAGGGATCCCGACTCCCAGGATGGGAGTCTCGGAAACTCCCAAGTGGGAGGCGAGACCCCAAAGTTTCCCTAAACCCCTAAACCCGAAGCTCCCAAACCCCTAAACTTCTGAACCCCTAAACCCCTAAACGGTAACCCGGTAAACCCTAAACCCCTAAACCCCTAAACCACGTGGAGGATCCAGGGACTTAGTAATAGTAAGGTTATCAGGACCTTGATTGGGGATAGAAGCAACTCGAAGTAGAGTTAGCTTCTTAGATAAGCCTAGCTACTACGGCATACGCCCCGATCCTCCAAGTACTTGATCTGAGTTTGCTTCCTTCTTTGGCAAACTAGCCTTCGGGATTCAGGGTGAAGGTTGCAGGCTTAGGGTTTAGGGCTTTAGGCTTTAGGGTTGAAGGTTCTGGGCTCAGGGTTGTAGCTTAGCTTCTAGCGACCATAGGAGGACATGATCCTTCATTTTTCAGACCTCTGTATTCAACCCCCTGCAGCTCCTCGTAAGTCAGAAGCGCCAAACGAAAACGTCCCAGCCAAGACCCTCCCTTCCAGAAGCCCCGAATCCTTAGACGAAAAGTTGCAAATCCAATCTGAAACCCTAAAGCCTAAGCCCTAAACTTCTGAAACTCCCCCCAAAAGCCCGACAGCCCTAAACCCCAAAGGCCCGACAGCCCTAAACCCCAAAAGCCCGACAGCCCTAAACCCCAAATGTCTAGATCCTACAACTCTTGAACCCTGCAACCCGGAAGCCCCGACCGCCTGCCAAGCCCAGAGCCCAGATCAAACTCGCCGTCTACAACACCCTAATGCCCTTCTAGGGTTTAGGGTTTAGGGTTTAGGGTTTAAGGCAGAACCCCCCCCCTAAAATTAACGGCGTAGGGTTTACTAAACCCTTAAAGTATAGTAACCCTGAAACCTCAGCCCATCCTGTATCTCCAAAGTCTGGGCATCCACTTGCACCTCTCGCTGGCTCAGGTCAAGTGGGCTCATTATGATACTGTATTCTACTATACTATATCATATCATATTCTGTTATGTTACATCATACTGTATTATTAATTATACTTTACTATGTTATACTACATCTACTGTCTTCTTATGCTATACTACATATGCTGTGTTGTGCTTAGGGGAAACCGGGCTTCGTGATTCAACAACCATCGTCATAACGATAGCAAGCACGGTATTGGCAGCAGCGGCCTTCATGACAAGAGAAGCACAATGTTTTGGGCAAGTCATCACATGTAAGGTAATCTAGAGAACGGCAGGTTCGCTATAGTAGTAGTAGTAGTAGTAGTAGTAGTAGTAGTAGTAGTAGTAGTATTAGTAGTAGTAGTAGTAGTAGTAGTAAAAGTAAAAGTAAAAGAAAGAGTAAAAGTAAAAGTAAAAGTAAAAGTAAAAGTAAAAGTAAAAGTAAAAGTAAAAGTAAAAGTAAAAGTAGTAGTAGTAGTAGTAGTAGTAGTAGTAGTAGTAGTAGTAGTAGTAGTAATAGTAGCAGTAGCAGTAGCAGTAGCAGTAGCAGTAGCAGCAACGGCAGTTGGGAGCAGTAGAAGCAGCA